TTCTGGCCAAAATATGAGTCCATAATCCATAATAAGTGAAAAGGTTCATCTCCTATTGTCCTCTCATCAAAACCCAACATATTTCTTTAGAACTCTTTTGGACTGTTTTCACTGGTAAACAGTGCTTTGTGCATATTTCTCTCCTGATTTAGAAGTTTCACTGAAGAAAGCAATACTATGGATAGACGACTCATATTTTTGCTGGTAGCTATGGTTTGAAACATCTTAAAGATGGATTCGTTTCTTACAAACACGCAGCTTTTGGCTTCACAAGACATTAATTGATGGACAGGAGTGGTGTGGATTACTTGTGGATTATTGTGATGTTTTTATCAGCTGTTTGGACTCTCAATCTGACGGCACCCATTCACTGCAGAGGATCCACTGGTGAGCAAGAGATGTAATGATACATTTCTCCAAATCTGATGAAGACTCATCTACATATTGGATGGCCTGAGGGTGAACTACTCCTTTTAGACATTACTCTCAGTTCTCATAACTCTAATACAAATGTATGTTCAAAAAGTATTAAAATGTAAAGTATTTATAAATGATTTAAAAGGTATTTGTTGTACTGTCTTTAAATGTAACTTTTTATTCTTTACTGTCTTTCACCTCACTTAAAACGTTGATTTACAGAGTTAATGCACATTTTTGTATAAAGAATGAATGTAAGTGGTTTAACAAAAATAGCAAAAAAAAAAAGTATAATAAATTTGATAAAAAATAAATTCGTCAGAATTTCTGCATAGGCTCAGACGGTGACCTCATAAGAAACGTTTCGATATCTCCTTGATATTTCTAAGCTCATAAATCAGAGGCTCTCTATAAAAATGTTCCCACATTTGCAGAAAAAAAAACCTCAACCATAACCCTGCACATTCTTCACAGTTTCGCTTGCATGGAGGGAACACGACCGCAGCCGAGCATGACAAACAAGAGCTTCACAAGCGCAGCTCACTGCCAGCTTTGGGATTTTTGTAGCGTGCGGCCATTTCTCACTGATGCTGTCAAGATGTGAGATTCTGCCTGTGAGCTGCTCCTGTGCCTGCAAGCCCACATACAGCGTGCCTGTGGCTGCCGTGTTGTACTGCTACAACAACAGATTGAGAAGACATGACGAGAGGGTTTTATGCTGATGTGTGAAGAGCATGATTGACAAGTTTGTTGAGATACATGTGTAAAATTTCATATAAAAGACTATGCAATTTATAATCTAATTGACCTTGCTATTTTGGAATCAAGGAGCTAAATGCACTATGCAACTGGATTGTCCACAGCACAGAAAGACCATCTACTGAAAAAAAAAGACTTAATCTCAAAACATAAACACATGACCACCCAGTTTACTGAATATCAATTGACAGTCTGAAGGACAGAAAATCCACGGGGAGGAGGAATTAATCAAGCAACAGGAAACGAAACTGACAGGATTTATCATTTCACAACTAAGAAATTTGTTTAGAATGCTTTTGGAGTTTTTTTTTTTTTTGCTTGTAAACGGTGCTTGATCTATGCATATTTCTCTCCTGATTCAGACCAGACAACTTTTTCACTGGAGAAAGCAATATTATGGATTTTGAACTCATATTTTAGCTGGAAGCAACGGTTTGAAATTAAAACCACTTTTAATGATGGATTTGTTTCTTACTAACATCTAACTTTTCACTTCACAAGACGTTAACTGATGGGACTGGAGTGGTGTGGATTACTTGTGGATTATTGTGGTGTTTTTATCAGCTGTTTGGACTCTCATTCTGACGGCACCCATTCACTGCAGAGGATGCATTGGTGAGTAAGTGATGCAATGCTACATTTCTTAAGTGGAGAAATTAGAATCAAACTCATCTTTATGTTTTGAGATAAAATGGTGAAATGTACTGTGAAAATCACCCATATTTACACATCAACTCTTGGTGTTCAGCTTGGTTTTTTTTGTCACATGAGGTAAGGAAAAAGGATAGATACTTTGAAGAACTAACCATAAGAGTAAAAATGTTTGCCAAACCTTATGCTGCTTTCGGTGGCGTGGCACCTACATCTCTGCAGATCCTTGTATATTTGCCATGTAAGAAATGAAGAGATGGTGCGAACTTTATTGGATCCAAACAGCAAACCTGCAGCCCCTGTGAAAGCAGACCAAAGCACAGAAGCTCACATGCAACGTCTTAAAGGCACAGCAACATAAAAATAGCCTGTTTATTACTTCTAAAGGTTCAAAGACATGGTGAAAAATGATCATGCAGAGTATGTTATTTTTAAGACACAAGCATTTACATTTATAATAATAAAAGTTACTGATGGTTTTCAGTGGTACGATTCTGTATCAGATACCATGTGTGTGTTCATATGCCATTAAATCCCAAGCGCTCCGATCGTAATTAACCAGATGAAGCACCAGTAACGCTTCCGTCTCGACGGTATTCAGGGAGACAAAATGATTGACAGCCATGACATTTATGACAGCTCGCTCATCCCAAGTGTGGTGTTTTTCTAAACACGTTGGAGCCATTCATATGTTCTCTGTCTTGTACCGATGCTGAGGGAGAGAAATCACAAAGCTGTGAAAAAAATAACAGAACAATGAGACTGAGCAGCATTACTAGATTGACATTTTGTAAAGGAAGGCCACAAAACTGAAGTGTTTTAGGGAAGATTCGGTAAAAGTGTAAAAGAAAAATGTGTATAGAAATGAAATGGCATAAAGTTATCTGCACGTGAGATTAAACGCATAATACGACACACTCTATGCAGTATAAATGCTGTTCTACATGGTTAAATAAATGGAAGCAAAAAAGACCAATTATAATTGAGTATGCAAATAAATTCAAAAAAGTAGGTCAATCAGAATTCACTATGCAAATACAGTATTAGAAGGGCAAACAATGATGTACAGTAAATCTATGCAATCTAATCGATACAAAACTAAAGAT